CGAAGGTTAACCTCAAGGTCCGCTAGGATACTGGGCATCAAAGTCTTCCGGCTTGCCATCCCGAACCCTCTAGAGCCGAAGGGATGCAACTTTCAGGGCTTATAAGGGGCCTAATGAGGGGTGTAGAAGGGGTATAATACGAGGTATAATGAGGGGATATAAGGTGCCTCATAAGGGCTGTAATAAGGGGGGAATAAGGGCCCAATAAGGGGTAAATAAGGAGGGGTTTGTAAGGGTTTTGTCAGGGGTCTGTAAGGGTATCATAAGGGTTCCATATCAGGGCCCATAATATGAAGGCCATGTAACTACGCCCTAGTAGTAGAGTAGGTAACCTTTAACCTTTTTGGGTAGTATAATCCCCTGATAATCCCAAAGGCTAACTTTGACTTCCCCCAGGTTACTGGACAACTGAGACTCTTAGCGCAACAGCCCTGCCTGTCAGCTTTTGGCTTCGAGGGGTTTGGAATGTTTGCCGTGCTTGAACCACCCTAAACCCTAAACCCTAAACCCTAAACCCTAAACCCTAAACCCTAAACCCTAAACCCTAAACCCTAAACCCTAAACCCTAAACCCTAAACCCTAAACCCTAAACCCTAACCCCTAAACCCTAAACCCTAAACCCTAAACCCTAACCCCTAAACCCTAAACCCTAAACCCTAAACCCCGAACCCCGACAAACCGACACCAACCGACCCCCGGCTCAGGATGGTTGGGCTCAGGCCAGCGCTCAGAACAGGTTTTGGTGAGGCTTCCGTTGTGTCCTTTGGGTAGATACGGCTCGGTCCGAAAGCCTGGGAAATCGGATCGAGCGCGTGAGATGTCAGGGCAGTGTCTGGGAGGTTTGGTTGCAAAATGTGTCCAAGCTTCGGGCGTGTCGCATATGATACTGGTAGCATGTTCAAAGCACTCCGCGTCAGCCAGATTCCTGGCACCGGGATACGCAGTCAAAGGAGGTTTTGGATTGGAGTGTAATTTTGCTACAGTTAAGCGTTCATCATGCAACGTACACGTTTCCATCGAAGCCATGACTAGGTCAACGGCTACTGCTCTGATGACTGGCAGCGGGGCAATAAGGTTAGTGGCGGCGGTAGTTGTCCTCATCATGGTAGTAGTGACAAGATCAACAGCGGTAGCAGCACCAGCAGCACGGCACTGTAGTCACTGTCAGAATTCTGAAGGATGCCGTGGCCGTATCGTGGTTCCAAGAGCGTAACTGCGAACAATCTGAGTTCCTGGTTTCAGTCACCATTCCTGCATCTTGGCCAGTCGCAGGTGCAAGATTTCAAGAATCGAGCTGGCACCGGTGCCACAACAGATGAAGACGAGGAGCCCATGAACATTTCCGCCTTCTGCCTGTGTCTTGCATTTCGTTTGTTCGCAAGCGGACGGACAATGACCCCCCCCGCTTAACCCAAACCTCACACCCCCAAATGCGTGCGCTGTTTGTGTGGGTGGTGTGCGCCCGTGGGTGTAGTGTGTGCGTCGCGTGGGAAGTGATGTTATAGCACTGAGAAGGTTGGTTTGAAGAAGCAATTTCTGACGACCCAGAGCATGCAGTATGTGGAGATGAGAATTCCGGACCCGCCTATTTGGAGGTGCTGCGTGGGGGGAAGGGAAGGAGACCGGATCCGGGTCTGCTTCTCGGGAAGCCGAGGCACAACCTTCACCAATACAGTTTTTTCGGCACCATTTTGAGCAGCTTTCCAGCCAATTTATCATCACTGTACCCCACCCCCTCCCACCCCCTCCCTCCCACCCCCTCCCACCCCCCCACCCCCTTCCCCACCCCCTCCCACCCCCTCCCACCCCCCCACCCCCTCCCACCCCCCTCCCACCCCCCCCACCCCCTCCCACCCCCCCCTCCCACCCCCTCCCACCCCCTCCCACCCCCTCCCACCCCCTCCCACCCCCCCCCACCCCCTCCCACCCCCTCCCACCCCCTACTCCCACCCCCTCCCACCCCTCCCCAAACCCCAAACCCTAAACCCGAAACCCTAAACCCGAAACCCCAAACCACCAATTTTCAAGAGTCCCGGAGGAGGCCTGGGACTGGGCCTTGGAGGGTGACTCGTCGGAGGGCAGCGGCCACCAGCCCATGGGCCGCACTGAGTTTAGGGTTTAGGGTTTAGGGTTGCTTTATACCGACTTTGGGGATGTTTCTCCAGGCTTAGGGTTCAGGGTGTAGGGTTGAGGGTTTAGGGTTTAGGGTTTTTCGGAGTTTAGGGTTTAGGGTTTAGGGTTTAGGGTTTAGGGTTGCGGTCTAAGATCGTAGGGTTTTGAGGATTTGGGGTTTCGGGTTGCTGACGCTAGGGTGCGAGGGACTTTTGGCCATAAGCCGTTGCTTTCAAGGTCGCAGGGGTGTTGCAAATTTGGCTCAAAGCAGTTTCTGATTTTGTGACGTCCTGGGAAAGGACTGGGGCTGTAGGCCAGTGTTTTTGAGCATTGGATATATGGGATTCAGATGTTCTTTGTCCCTAAGACCACTAGAAGGACAGGCAACCCTCATCCTCAAACCGAAGCTTAACCTCAAGGCCCCCTTGCTTGCTGCAGAGGTGGGTGGTGGATGACTTCCTCATCACTGGAGATGCCCGGGGCCCTGGAAGGGGCATTCGGATCGAGGGCTCTTGAGTCGCCAGCCAACGAACCTGAGAGCCCAGAGCCAGCTTTGAGGGGCCTTGAAAGTTTTCGCTCTCGCTCCCGTTTTTGTTGTCCTTTCCCCCCATTCCCTTCCCTTCCCCCTCCCCCTTCCTTCCCACTCGCGCTCTCGCAGAAAAACTCTTTCCAGCTCTCCTGCTCCCTCTCTCTCTCTCTTCCTCTCCCACTCTCTCTCTGTCTCTGTCTCCCTCTCCCTCACTCTTCTGTGGCTTCTTCTCCCTCCTTCCGTCTCTCTCGCTGCCAGGAAGCGCCGCTCGTGCCCCCGGCAGAGGAGGCTAACGCTTTGCAGCCGGTACAGGCCGGTAAGAACCTTTGGTTGAAAGCTTAGCGTTCTCAGCGTTCAGGTCCAAGACTTGAGGGTTGCATTGCAGATGTAAGTTTCGGCATCAGGGACAGGGTTGGGCCCAGAAGCATGAAAGAAGAATGAGGCCCCAAATCATTCAGATTTAGAGGAAGGCGGGTTTGCTGCAAAATCTCAGGGAGAGGGGTGCAAACTCACCATACGGTTCAGTTTGATGGCTTAGCTTGAAGTTGCAGATCACAAGTTTTTCAGGTTCGGAGTATGCGATTTAGAGTGCACCCTAAACCCTAAGCCCTAAACCCTAAACCCTCAACCCTCAACCCTAGACCCTAGACCCTAGGCCCTAAACCCTAAACCCTAAACCCTAAACCTTTTCGGGTGTCAGGGCTGAGAGTGTGAGACTTTGGTGGCAGCAGCTCCTGTCTGACGCTTACATTCAGCCAATTCTGGACATGAAAGATCGAACACGGCCACCCATCACCGATATCCCCCTTGGGAATTAAGTTTTTTAGTTCTATTCATATAAAACCCAAGAGGATATTAAGAATGAAAAATTGTATTGAGGTTTTAAGGGGAGTATAGTCACTTCAACTGCAGCACCACGAATGCTGAACGCAAAGTCCTGCGAGCGAGCTCCAAGCGCGATGTATGGTTCAAGGGTACAGAGTTCAGGGGATTTCGGGCTTGGGGTCTGGTTCGGGTCCCAGGCAGACTTTGAACTGCGGCCAATGCAGGCGGAGAGGCAGCCCCCAGAGGAAAAGCCAGTCAAGGAGCACCCTGAGGAGGACTCCCCGGCCGAAAGCCATCCCGGAGTCTGGGGCTTCTTCTTCCCCAAGCGCTTACACCCCAACCCTAAACCCTAAACCCTAAACCCTAAACCCTAAACCCTAAACCCTAAACCCTAAACCCCAAACCCTAAACCCTAAACCCTAAACCCGAAACCCTAAACCCTAAACCCTAAACCCTAAACCCTAAACCCTAAACCCTAAACCCTAAACCCTGAGCCCTAAGCCCTAAGCCCTAAGCCCTAAACCCTAAACCCTAAACCCTAAGCCCTAAGCCCTGAAAGCCTTTCAGAGTTGAAGGCATGAACGGACCCTGTGCGCCCTAAACCCCTAAGCACCCAACCCTTTCTCCGCCTGCCCCCTTTATCCCCATAGGGTTTAGAGTTTAGGGTTTAGGGTTTAGGGTTTAGGGACCCTCCTCCAGCCCCCAGCCCCGGCAGGAGCATGGATTCCGTTGCCGCGGCCCCCCGGTTGCTATAAGTTTCTGCCTTGTCGGGTTTTTACAGGTGCTCGGTGCAGGGCGTGCATCGTTTCACAGCTTTCCACGATCTACTTCGTCCCATTGAGCCCCACAGCCCAATGTGCCGCATGTCATGCCAGGCTGCAACGTTCAGATCTTCCGGGGAACGGACATCCTCTCATCCAACTACCAAGCTATGTGGCTCACTCAGCATGGGTTCAAGTGGAAAGCTCACAGTCGGCCCCCAGAAAGACCATGTTGGCATATCCCCGGTCGACGTGGGGTCAGTAGGGTGGCCACCAGGAGGTCAGCAGCCGGTCATCCGGTCATCACGGGGTCTGTACGGTGGTCATGGTCACCGGTCACGAGCGGCACGAGGATTAGCTCGCTGAGGCTCACCAATCAATCATGGGGGCTCGGGGGGCCTCAGTTGGGTTCGCTGGCGAAGCTTCGCCACGGGGTCACCGCGTGAGACTTGGGTAGAGTAGAGGTCGCCAGCAGCACGATCTTCCCTGCCCAATTGGCTCCGGGTAATGCCGAGTGCGGAAAAGGCAGCCGATCCCCCAGCTGCGCAGATTTGACTAGCAGAAGTGAGCCGTGGTGCGCCAAATTCAAGGGGGCAGTAGGGTGGGGGTCCCAGGGAAGCAGGGACATGCCGCCAAGGTCGGTGGGCCCTTAAAGACTCCAAAGCCGGGTCGACCACGGAAGGGCTTAACGGTTCTGCCTTCGGCCTTGGCTTAGAATTTTTTTCACGCTTGTTTGGCCCCCCGGCCGCTTCTGTCCACTGTCTGTTGTGGCCATGCTCTCCGCCAATCTTTTTTTCACCAAGCTGTTTTGTGCCGTTTTGAACTTGCTGTTTGTTTCAATGTTTGGAACACTCAAAACCGAATGTCAAGTTTAAGGTTTAAAGTTTTGGGGACACTTCCTAGCTGAGGACGGGCCCAGGCTACCTCGTTGACGCGACACAGAACACAACGGCATCTGACGACAGGCAGACGGTTATGTACACCACTGGGTCCTATGTCATTTGCGAAGTTCCTTGGCACAAAGTTAGCCAAAACCCTTAGCAAACACTGTAAATCTCAGTCTAAAACCTATAACTGATACTGCATAGGGCCCGAAGTTCCCAATCCTGAGTCCCTGGGCTAGCACGTCCGGACACCTCAGAATTCAAGCTCCAAAGCCTAAACATGAAAGCCTGTCATGAACGGATTCCGGCGTGAGCATTTTGTGTCCACACGTTAATACGTCTGAACCTTAGCCTTCTGCTGGAACCCTAAACCCTAAACCCTAAACCCTAAACCCTAAACCCCTAAAACCCTAAACCCTAAACCCTAAACCCCCAAACCCCCAAACCCCCAAACCCCCAAACCCCCAAACCCCCAAACCCCCAACCCCCAAACCCCCAAACCCCCAAACCCCCAAACCCCCAAACCCCCAAACCCCCAAACCCCCAAACCCCCAAACCCCCAAACCCCCAAACCCCCAAACCCCCAAACCCCCAAACCCCCAAACCCCTGAACCCCTGAAAACCCCTAAACCCCTGAACCCCTGAAAACCCCTGAAAACCCCTGAAAACCCCTGAAAACCCCTAAACCCCTGAAAGCCCCTAAGCCCCTAAGCCCCTAAGCCCCTAAGCCCCTAAACACCTACACCCCTAAACCCCTAAACCCCTAAACCCCTAAACCCCTAAACCCCTAAACCCCTAAACCCCTAAACCCCTAAACCCCTAAACCCCTAAACCCTAAAGAGGCAGGGTTGGGGGGCATTGTGTGTGTGTGTGAACTCTCCCAGGTTTCCTGCGAGTTCTGTGACAACAAGCTTGGCGTGACGTACGTCGTGGCCCCCGATGCGAAAAACGAATACAAGGCGGGCTCCTGATCCGAGCTTCGGAGAACCCTGAACCCTAAACCCTAAACCCTAAACCCTACATCCTAAACCCTAAACCCCAAAAACCGCCAAAATCCCCCAGAGCCCAACTCTAAACCCTAAAACCCGAAGCGCTAAACCCTAAACCCTAAACCCTAAACCCTAAACCCTAAACCCTAAACCCTAAACCCTAAACCCTAAACCCTAAACCCTAAACCCTAAACCCTAAACCCTAAACCCTAAACCCTAAACCCTAAACCCTAAACCCTAACCCTACACCCTAAACCCTAAACCCTAAACCCTAAACCCTAAACCCTAAACCCTAAACCCTAAACCCTAAACCCTAAACCCTAAACCCTAAACCCTAAACCCTAAACCCTAAACCCTAAACCCTAAACCCTAAACCCTTCCGGGGTATTGCAGAGTTCGGCAACAGGTTGGCAAGTTCCTGCTGGGTGCCGATCGGCTGATCCTCCCCCCGGGCGTGACACATCCGAAGGCGAGGTTTCTGAGGCAGCTTCACATGATATAGGGCAGTATTCCCAAAACCCTATTCTATTGATCAAGGCCCCCTTTACTAGACGCCTGCAAGCAAAGCTCCATGCGTGCGAGTTTGTTGCACCCGTGAACCTACTGCATCATGTTGAGCCTTGACGGCGAAGGTCGATCCGCCGCGATTTCGCGTTTTGTATACCATCCACAGAGATGCAGCGGTCCTTATTGCAACCTTGCTCTGTAGATATCTCGCAAAGAACCACCAGCAAAAACCAGTGCAAACATGGATAAACCATGATATCACACACTTCGGAAGTCCTTGGGGGCGAGGGACTATCGAACCTGTTCCCAGGAGTTCCTGAAATTGTTATTTTGGGTTGTTGCTCTGGTATTGTGGTATTGTGGTTTTATGGTTGTACGGTTTTCTGTATTGTTATGTATTTTCGCTATGTTTTGTTCATTGGCGTTTTTGTTTTTGTTTTTTGTGTCCCAGGAGCTGTAGCTGAGAGGCTACATAATTTGAAAAAACATGTTGGGGTCTTCGCCGGCACAAAGACAGAGACTTCTTGAACAACGAAGACATGAGTTAAATCTGAATTTGAAATGCTAGGATTTTGTTTTAGTTTCCTACGAATTAGATATTAGTTAATCACAAACACAGCTTCTTAGGAAAAATCACCGTTGGGCCTTTGTCCGCAGTTTTCAGGGCCCTAAGATGCCCCAAGGTAAAGGATTAAGGACAGAGGGTCTGCAGCCTCTAGACACCGTCTTGAGCATTGAGTGTTGTGGTAGAAAACCCAACCCCAACTTGCAAAAACAGAGCAAAGGAGACTTAGGGGTTTACGATAATAAGGGGTTTAGGGTTTATAGGCTCCCAAATACTAGGATCCCCTGAAATCAGGGGCCCCAAGAAGGCACCCCTCACATCGTGAACCCCCACTTCGGAGACCTGCAATGCTCTGAGCACCTGCAACCTACACCCTACACCCTAAAACCCTAAGCCCTAAGCCCTAAGCCCTAAACCCTAAACCCTAAACCCTAAACCCTAAACCCTAAACCCTAAACCCTAAACCCTAAACCCTAAACCCTAAACCCTAAACCCTAAACCCTAAACCTACATCTCCTTCTTGTGCCAGGCGCGGGCATGAGGCGTCGCTAGTTGCACGGCAAAGAGGAGACGTTGAAGGAATTCTCCCCTAAACCCGAATCCCGAAACCCGAAACCCGAAACCCTAAACCCTAAACCCTAAACTCTAAACCCTAAACCCTAAACCCTAAACCACCCTAAACCACCCTAAACCCTAAACCCTAAACTCTGGGTTGGCCCTTCCAAGCTCCAGGGTCGAAGCTAAGGGGTCTCGCTGGTAGGGTGTTTAGGTCATTGGGGACAGCCTCTTGGCCTTAGGTTCTGGGTTCTTCGACTTGGAACAGGAAGCTCCAGACTTTAGGGTTTCTTTAGGGTTTTTTTAGGGTTTAGGGTTTAGGGCTCAGGGTTGCTTGTCCTTGTTCAGAGCATACCTACAATGCTGGGTTTCTGGAGTCTTGAGTACTTTCAACGTCGCTTGGACGCGCTGAGCATCAAAGAGCCAAAAGAGTTGCGATGCCCGCGCGTGCCCTGTGTGGATGTCGCACAGTTGGATGCCGCATCTTCGCACGGGCTGCCCCCCAACACATAGGACTTGCTATCCGCTTCACTCTTTGTACAAAACTTCCTTGTCTGCTTTCTGCCATTTTGCCTCTATCCAAGTTGCATACGTGCAGATGTAACCGGGCATGAAACGTATGGCAGAAAGCTCCGTGTCACGAACATTTTGTTCTGCACCCTAGAGCCATAGAGGCTTTCAGGATGGGATCTGCTTCAGCCCACATGCTGCCGGCTACTTCGAGTCAATACCAGCTTCCCCCACTGGCAGATCCCATCTGTGTGTCCATAGACTGTTACAGCTGCAGGCAAGCAGTTCGATCTTCGTATCGAACACCGCAAGAAGCACTAGAGCACCCTGGCGGCTGAATTTTATCGAATCCCTCTAAGCCGGCCAGTCCCACAACCCAACTTCCTGACCACCAGCTGCCCAAGCACTCATGGTTAGTTCCACCTGCTGGGTGCTTCCAATCGCACGTCTCGCATTTGAGCCGCGAGGACGAAAAATCGACGATCGTGTTCGTCTTAGCCACATGATGGCCCATAGACCTTGGTTTTTCTGCGGGATGTCTAAGACGCACACATCAAAGCACAGGAGAATGCTACCGCATACGCTAAACGGACCCTGACCTGAGGATTTCTTGATTCTGCTGCGGAGTGATTTCATAAGATTGAGCTGCTTGCGTAGCTCCGGCAGATGGGATCACATTGCAGCGCCTTCTCAAGACTTCGGCTCGAGCTTTCTAGTGTTCCTAGGAAAGTCACATAAAGCAGCTCCACGGCTGTGCAGCAAGGCATGAGGCAGCGCCCATCCCGATCATGAAACATGGCAGCCCAATCCAACATGCCAAGTCCCGGGAGCGCAGCGCTGGGACACCCAAAAACTGGTGAAAACCGGTAACCCCCTAAAAAGCCCTAAAAGTCCTAACAGCCCAAAAAGCCAAAAGCCCCTTAAAAGCCCTAAAAGCCCTAAAAGCCCTAAAAGCCCTAAAGTCTAACACCCCCATCCTGGTCCATTGTGGGCCCGCTCTGCTGCAACTGCCGACTTGGAGACGTCATGGCTCACTTATGGACAGGACCTGGCTGTGGCCTTTGGGTTTAGGGTTTGCGGTTTAGGGTTTAGGGTTTAGGGTTTGGGGTTTAGGGTTTGGGGTTTGGGGTTTAGGCCTTTGGCCCAGTCGCTTCTCCGACGTGGCATGTCGTCGTCGCCAGCTGTCGTTACCGATGGCTTCGTGGAAACATTTTTGGTGGTCGGAATTGTTGCCAGGAGACCTCCCCCCCAGGCTTGGTAACATTTTAGCTTGTGTGTCTGACCACGCAAAGACCTACACATGCGTGCTTTAGTTCTCTGTTTCTTTCATGTCTTTGAAGTGTTACACGGATTGTGGGGTAGGTTTGCATGTTTTTCCCAGATGCCCGGCGAGAGACCTGGAAATGTTACCGGTAACTTTTCGGGGTCCCCCCCCCCTTTAAGGCAAGGGCAATCATTGACCCACAGGGACGCCTGGCCAGCGCAGAAACGCGCGAACAGCAGCGAGACTACCTCCGATCATTCCGATCATGTTTACATTGACATCTTCGATATTGTTTGCAAGTGCTCGTTGACAGCTGCCATTTGCTCAGAGCCAACGTTGGGTTGAAAGCCCTCATTTTTCAGCTTGAGGCGCGTGGAGACTGGCATTTTTTGTATCGTTGTCCCTCTTAAACCCTAAACCCTAAACCCTAAACCCTAAACCCTAAACCCGTACAGCTGGCACAGTGGAGACGTGCTGCAGGCCAGACAGCTGAGGCATGGCGGCGCTGCCATGGCGGCGACCTCGGAGTTCTTAAGCTCGCTTGGTGGCTTGGGTTGATTTTCTGAAGCTCATCTCATGGATCGGCTAGTGGACTCTCAGCCCAACCCAGCCTGAGTTGCTGATCGATTGAGGTCGTGCTTGATAAATGTGGGTCCTCCTGTGCCTTCCGTCCGATGGTGCGCCCTGTTCGTGCCTGAGAGCGTTGTTGCCTCGAGCACGCTGCACCTCTAAACGTCCTGCTCCCTACAAGCACTGCATGTGGCCGCTTTTGGCCCGTGCCTCCGTCTCATCAGTCTATGGAGTCTATGGTGCCGCTCTCAGGCGCCCAAGGCGCTGAAGCTGCGCATGGCTCTGGCGGCAATGCTTCTCTGACGCATTGGCGCATGAGGAGGGCAAAAAACAAAATGCACAAACAGCCCTGGGCAGGGACTTTCAAAAATGGTCCAAAGATGCAGACCATTGCAGACCCAACATGTCCATGCAGACAGTCCCCACAACCAGTAGCACTGCTGGGCAGGATCTCGGAGATGGAGCTTCCATTTCTCCGCATGAACTTAATCAGCCAATGTCAGCGACATCCCACCGTGATACAAGTGCACAGTTTAGTGCCAATGCCGAGGTGTTGCACATGTTCTGTCTCGAGGGGGAGAGAGAGAGAGAGAGAGAGAGAGAGAGAGAGAGAGAGAGAGAGAGAGAGAGAGAGAGAGAGAGAGAGAGAGAGAGAGAGAGAGAGAGAGAGGAGAGAGAACATAGAGAGAGAAGAGAGACAGAGAAGAGAAGAGATAGAGAGAGATAGAGAGAGAGCGAGAGAGAGAGAGAGAGAGAGAGAGACAGACAGACAGACAGACAGACAGACAGACAGACAGACAGACAGACAGACAGACAGACAGACAGACAGACAGACAGACAGACAGACACACAGACACACGGACACACAGACACGCAGACA